AACTACAATTTCATACTTCAAATTAATAAAATGGTGTTGGACCCAGGGGCGGACCCAGAAAATTCATGTTGGGGGTTCAAAATATTTTTTGAGGGCGAAATTTATTTTCTGATAGGGCGAAAATTATTTTCCTTATATATATGCACTAAAAAATAAAATTGTTGGAGGGGCGGTAACCCCTGAGTCTGTACTACGGTCCGCCCCTGGTTGGACCGGAATCGAACTATAAACGACATGATACATATACCCCATGAGTACGGTCCCGATACGTAATCCACAAAATCATTGACTGGTTGGCCCTAAAACTAGAACGGGTCCACCCCTAGGCACAATTACTCTTTCCTAATTTTTTTTTATTCATGGGATTCTCTTGATATTGATTTGTATTAATGAGGCACATTCTTGAATAAAAAGGAAAGATCCATGGATATTTGTGAGACTGATTCACGTAGGGGTGAACAAGGTCCCAAACTCGGGCAATTTATACCGTACACCCGGGTGTACGTACACCCGGTATATTTGTAATTATTTGCTGATTCTTCCGGCCGTGTGTTCTTCCCTGCTTGCCTGGGTAAGTGGACTACGCCTCTTTAGTCTAGCCGGCCAACTTAATTCTTCGTAACTTCTAAGTGGACTGCGTGAGTGGAGGGAGCACTACCTCTCTTTTCTTTTGCCTTTTACATAGATTTTTTTTGTTTCTTTTTCCTTTTTTTTTCAAGTCCTTTTCCCTTTTTTTAACCACCTTATTCATTGATTTCAAATTTTCAATTTCTGATGAATATTTAAAGTATTATTTTATTATTTTTCTTTATTAATTTAAGAAGAATATTTATTAGTTTATTAAATATTAATTCGTATGTGCTAATTACTAACATGAGTTTCGTGTTATACTAAAATGAGTATAGTGTAAAATAAATATGTTTTCCCAAACTCGAGACCGAAGAACCAAGACCAGCCAGATCGCAAATTCAAATTTCAGGCTGAAATCGAGATCAAGAGCAGATGAGGGACATTGGTACCGGGCCTCTCTTTTTGGGATTGAGACTAGACAATATTACATGCGAATCTAATATTGGTCACCAAGGTTTTCAATTGAACAAAGTCAGCGCCAAATTTTATCATTTTTGAACACCCACATACGATTCTCTTTTTTCAGTTAATAAAAATCACGTCTTTGCAGATCTTTGAAAACATTCATTTGTTAAATAAAATAAACGGAATTATAGAATGTAGATATATTATTATATTTTGAGATATTCTTAATTGGAATGTCTAATTAAATATTCTTAAATTAATTCTTTTTTAAGCTATACTCCCTCCGTCCCATTTATATTGTCCCGTTTTACCTTTTCGGGAAGTCCCACTTAAATTGTCCCATACCATATTTGGCAAAGTTTGTGTGGCTCTAAATCATTCTTACTTTATTCTTACTTTATCAATTAATATCAACCACACAAACCCACTTTTCTTAATAACCGTGCCACCCTCTTCCGGGACAATATAAATGGGACGGAGGTAGTATAAGTTAAGTTTTTTTTACTGAATTCGGCTTAGATTAATAACCAATAATAATTCAGAGTATGAGTCAACTGACAAAAAAGATGCTCATAACCGTTATTCCTCAAACCAGACTTGGAATTAATTACCGTAGTAATATAATTCGCTGATCCATAACCGGGAAACACAAAGCCTAACACGGTTACCAAATTCCTCTCATCCCCCACATCCAAAATCAACGTCTTACAGACCAGAACAGGAAAACAGAAACAAAAACCAAAACAAAAACTAGAGTTGATGAAACAGTAAATAAAGCAGAATAAATAACACCCTTTTTTCCGCCAGACAACTAAAACCAGTCTTCCCGTTTTCGGCCTCACACCTTCAACCAGTGTATTTGGCGGGCTTAAGGAACCAAGCCCGCCTCCACCCCGTTTTTTGTCCCATCTGTGATCATGATGTCCTCCTCATTCTCGTTCTCTGTTTGAGTCTCCTAGATTTCCCTTCTTTTGGAAACCTCTTCCTTTGGCTCTTCCCCACATTGTGTGAAGCTTTGAGCAGATTCCGACCTTGACCCTTTCTCCTTGTCTGTCATCTTTCCTTCTGATCTGGATACCCCCGGTCCGCCCCCCGATTTGCCAGAGCTCGATGAACCCTCCAGAAGCCAGACTTTCCTCCTGTCGGGCTAGTCTTCACCCTGCTACCTGCTCTAAGATGAGATTCAAATCCTTTTTCCAAAACCAGTCCTTCTTCATAATTCACGGGAGAAAAATTATCTGAATGACCAACCAAACCACATATAAAGCAAAAGGTAGGCAGCCTTTCATATTTAAAAATCCACCCTAAAACTTTTACCATCTTTTTTAAGGACCCTAACACGCATGTATGGCTCTACTTTTTCTTTTTTGATAATCATCATACTCCCTCCGTCCCTTAAAACTTTGCCAACTTTCCTTTTTTGCATGTCCCACTAAATTTGCCACTTTCCCTTTTAAGTAAAGAATTTGTGGTTCTAGTTAATTCTCTCTCCTCTGCACAAACATCAACCACACAGTTTTTACTTTATTAATTCTCGTGCCGGTCAAACTTGGAAAAGTTTTAAGGGACGGAGGTAGTATTTAACAAGTTCTCCTAAAAAACTCCCAACATGTCTAGCAGTGCCCAGATTTACCAAACTATAAGGAACATTATGAATTTGGACCCAAAATTCAGCCTCATTCAAAATAATTTTGTGTGGTATATCATCAGGCATAATTTGTTTAAGCAAAACCAAGCTACGTTCATACTGCCAAGGGCCTCCTTCCAGAACATGCTTCATGTCAAAACGATGGTTAAAGGAAAAAAGATACCTCTTTTCCCCGATTTCTTTAACTGACATACCTTTTCCTGGCCTCCATAGAGCAAGCATCTGCTCTTTCAGCTCTGAGAACCGGACTTTGCGATCTGTCAGCACCTGTCCGATCACAGGGAAACCTGCCGCCACCTCCTCCTCCGGAACATCTTCAAGCTCACCGTCATCGAGGTTTATCTCTATCTCGTCATCCCCGATTGTCATCTGCTTGTAGCGGTCCACAACACTCTCCATTAACAAGAACTCTTCGTCAGAAAATTGCTCTTCCAGCGAAACCAGCCGCCAATTGCTCTTCGTCGGCGCCTCTCGACCTTAACCCTGCCTGCCCAAGAAGCTTGCTTAAAAAGCCAAGACCACCGCCCTTACACCCCCTCCGAATTCGCCCCTCGTCATTCCTGCAACCACCGCCCCTCTAACCCCTAAACACGCACCTCGTAAATAGGGAAAGTTCCCGAAATGGGACTAAAAAGGTTTAAAAATTCCAAAATAGGACTGTAATGTTTTTATTCCCAAAATAGGACTAATTATTGCCAAATTTGGAAAATACTACCATGTTTGAAGTCTAGTACTGCCAAAACATGGCAGTAATTAGTCCTATTTTGGGAATAAAAACATGGAAGTCCTATTTTGGAATTTTCAAACTTTTTTAGTCCTATTTTGGGTAATATCTCTCGTAAATACGAAGGCGGATGATCCGATGCTAAGGGTTAGCAGCCGCTAACCCTAGAGCAGAGGGAGTCCCTGTAAGTTGTGTTAATTTTATTTTAAGTTAAATTTTTCTTATGTACCAAAAAAAGGAAAAACAAAATAGAGATAATTGTGTATAAATGTTTTTAGTATGTACATTTAAGTTAATGTTACATGTTTACAAAAATTAAGTGCAGCCTTTTTAATTTTTTATAAACTTATAAGCTACATATGTTCAAAATTTTTACCAAAATCCATAAAATTGGATGCTAACTAAATACATATTTTATTATCAAGTACAATTTAGATCTTATATTTGACTTCAGTTTATATAGGTTTCAAACTTTCAATTAGATAAAGTAAAACTCAATGCATATTTTATATATTAATCACTACATTGTATTCTGTATATAGGTTTTACTCCTATTTGGAACAATTTCCCTCCCTAATATATATGACCGAAAAAGTGATGAACAAAAAATGCGATTTTTTAGTGACTATCCGTGTAACTTTAGTGACCGTTGTAACTATAGTACGGAGTGATATTTTTATCCATAAGATATATGTTGTATTTAAAAAATATTTAAGGAAAAACCTCAACAAAAGCAATCACTATAATAATTTCGTGAACTACAAGATATATAGGCGCTTTTATGACTGAAGAATTGAAGATATATGGAACATGTCTGAGGTACTCATTAAGAAGCACATTAGTGTGATTTGCGATGCAGATTATTCAACCTGAAAAATTGGAGTCCATTTTTCTGAGTGAGATAATCCCCCCTTTAAAATCTCGTTAGTGTTCAGAGAAATGGATCTCTATATAAATGCACCATCATGCATTTGGGTTTAGGGTCATCCATTCCTCAATTTTCTATCAATACTCATTGTTGTGTGCCACCATATTCTTGATACATGACATGATGACAAGTTGACAACAGTGGGAGATGAACACCAAGACATTCCTAAATGGATGATTCATTAGATGGTGCTAGGCCTGGACTCAGGCTGGGTGGCCCGACCCGGAACCGGCCCGAACCGGCACTGTTCTGGCCCGGCGGTCCAGTCAGTGACTGGTCCGGGTAGGCCCGGCCCGCGGGGGTTCCAGTCCGGGCTCGGACCCCCTAAATCATGAACCGACCCACCCGGTTCGGGCCCGGTTCGGGCCCGGTTCCGGTCCTTTTTAATTTTTTTTTTGTTTTTTTTTTAGTTTTCGGGTTGGACCGGATATTTTCGGCTGTTTGGGGTGGTTTGGGGGGGGGGGTTAGGTTAAGTGGTTAACTAGGAAAAGGGAAAAAAATAACAAAGGCCCGAGGCCCCACCCAGACCCAGGGAGTACCCAGGTCGGTTCCGGCCCCCCATTCCAGAACCGCCGGCCCGACCGAGCCGGGCCTGAGTCCAGGCCTGGATGGGGCAAGACATTCTTCAACCATGAACCATGTACATGGACTAGTGTCTAGTGTAGGGAATTTCTAAACAATATACAAATTGTTCCTTGTTTGGTTTTGTTTATTAACCACAGAAAAAAATGCTATGAACTTTGACATTTTTTAACATAAAGATACAAAATACTGAACCCTTTTCAAAAAATCGATGACAGTAATAAGATTAAGATGAGACTTTAGAAAAGGGAGCTTGAGACAGGAAGGCATCAAAGATGTGCAGTGTATAGTCTGTAGCAAAGTACCAAAGAGTAAGTACAATTCTCCTATATATTCATAAGCAGCAGCAAGGCTCAGTTGTCAAGTTTGATAAGATGGTGCAAGGCACTCGTCAAGTATGTCTACAAGGTAAGGACTTTCTAAAGCAGCAGCAATTCTCTCCTTGTCGTTCAATTGTTTATTTACTGCAAAAACTCAAAATAAAATAAAATAAAAAACCACCCTAAATTTAAAATCCCCCCACCCAACAATAGTGTGCATAGTAAATAACCAAATTAATGCACTGCCCTATCCATTTTCCATATGGATTCAGTTTCGATTAAGGGTTATGGATCTTGATGATTTTATGTTTTCAACGATGTTGCTAAAAACAAATACGTAGTACAAGGTAATGAAATGTTACATTTATTTGTTGTGTTATTCCATGGTTTTTTTTATTAAATCTCAAATAGAGAGGGAGGGGGAGATATAGAGAGACCTGCAACTTCAGATACATGTGCTCCTGGCGCAATTCTAATATCAACCTGGTAGCACCACAAAAACAAATCATTAATGCATATCTAAGAAGCACAGAAACTTTCCACATCTCACATTTCCTTGTACACAAATCTCGGAAACTTCAAATTTCCATTTTTGAGCTGTTTCTGTTATTAAAAGAAATGGAGAAACCCATTTCCCTAGAAAATTAGCATCTCAGAAACTTTGTGTTTCCAATTTTTCTTTTGAATAAGATCTCTTGATGAAACTATCATCTGTTTTAATCATTTTTAATGGATTTTATGGTATTTCCTCCTAGCAACATTGCAATTGACACTAATTAGACAAGAAGATGAAGATGAGTGCAGTGGCTTCATGAACTCCATTCATCATAATATGATGAGTGATGCAATTCTGTAAGTCTAGCATTGAGCTTATGGAAGCATACTTTATAACGAGAAGGCAAGCAGCGCAAGAGTTTGACCCGCAAGCATAATCCTATGATGGTTGCCATACTGCAATGCTCAACAGTTGGGGTGAATGTTACCCTGAAACCAATAATTATTGGGTTTAGACAAAAACAATTATGATATTTGTTTTCAAGTTATAGATGCTTATTAGAGGACAGAAAGTACTTCTGCTTGTTACAAAGTAGTGTTTGGTAGGAAAATGGAAATGTGTTTTTAGCAAATAGAATACGGCGCTTCTTGAAAAAACTACCTAAGGTGCTTATAGGAGAAAACACTTGCAATAAAAGCATTTACACCATAAGTTATCTAAAAAATGGTAAAAAACCAGAGTGGTGTGAAATGAAAACACCTCTATTTAAATGTTTCTCACCTAACAAAACTCCTATTGTCGTCTACTTCAATGGCATCTTCTGTAATAACTTTCAGCTCTTCTAAAGAATAAGGATGCTCTGGATCTTTTATGTCTCTAAGATGATGTATGCACGTTAAAGAATTGTATCAGAAGGTTTAGAATTTTCTGTGGGAAGAATTAACAAATATCCCATTGTTCCCCATTGAACTTGAATTTTCCTCGATCACAAGACAATATATGACAAGAGTAAATACGCAAAAATAACATGCAGTCACAAACATAACTCTTTAGCCATTTACGTATACTCTTCTCTTTTTAGTGACTTCATAAAGCATTGTTTCAGTGTAAGAAAAAGGTGTCACCCATGCTTTGAGATTGCTAAAAGAATGTCTATTTTGTAATTCATCAACTTAATAATAATAGTAATAATAATAACTGTAGTAACTATGCCAGTAGTAAAACATTTCAAACTTTATTGACATAGCTAGCGTATAAATATAGAACGCGAGTCCGCGACCACTCAAAAAGGATATCAAATATTTCTTCTTGGTCAATAGGTTCCACAGCAAATTCATCCTTAACAACTGGTGTACACCGAGCTCTACGTTCCTTCTTCTCATAAATAGTAGGATTAGCATTAATCAATTCAGAAACCATTCTTGGCACCAACTCGTGTAATTGACAGCCTGCGAAACAATTAGGATTAATAAAGCCCCGCACTATAGGAATTATTCCCTTTTCAATTGAAAGCTAGATCTCAGCAACAAAGACAAAAATAAACTCCCCAAAATCGAAGTGAAATCAATGGGAAATTAAAAAAAGAGCTCTTTTCCATAAATAAGGAGTAAATTAGTGTCATCCCATCCTGAAAATGTGCTACCATATTTTGGCATTATCGCACATTATATGGCAGTATAAATGTCACAGTTGACTACTTGAGAGTATTTTTCAAGCATGACATTAATTACCCCGACTTACGGGAAAAACATAGCACTTCTACTTCGGAATTTCTTACTACTGATAGCACTTGTATAGGGCAATTACTTTTTTCTCTTTACTACTGAGCAGTGAGCAACGGAGCTCTAGCTTTCAATTGAAAAGAGGATAAAAATTAATTCCAAGATATAATAGAAAGGAAAAGCTAATAAATATGTAGATTGTAGATATAATAGCATCATGAACAACAAGAACAAGTAAAGGAAAAGCTATTCTCTGAGCAATCTTAACAAATTTTAAATAACAGAAAGACAAAAAAGTAAAAACAAAAGCTGAATTAAAAGCTGCATTCCATAGAATATAGATCTTTATAGCAGTTTGAGTAATTCTAAAAACTGCATTTGATATGCCATACCGAAATATATGCAGCTTCAGTAACTCAATTTATAAAACATACCAAATATGACATACCAAATACCAAAATCCATACAAAGTAGAAACTTTATGCGAAAAAATAAAATCTGATCAAGAAACTCTTTAGAGGAGTTTACCTGTTTGTTGTAGCCTCAATAATCAGTGCAAGAAAACAGCCAAAATCACAAACCCGAAGTAGCGAAGGTATACTTAATTTCCTGCCATATGCAATGCCAGGTCATTTTGCAACCAAAATATATCTACACATTGAGTTATTATAGGGTAGCCGGCCCCAAACTCTTTTGGGACTAGGGTTTGGGTGTTGTATTGAGTTATCATAGGGAAATAAGTGAACAAATGCAAACAAGAAGGCAAAAGGAAGGAAAAAAGATTCTAAAACTCTTGGAATAACCACTTAAGTTTGGTACCCTAAACTGTCTATTCATTCTCATACTTTGACTATGTTCCTCCACACATCTTCCTTTCCTTGTCGCATCGATTAGAATACATGACAAGCATTACAGTTATTGGATATCAGCACAAAATGTATATGCATATCTTCATTTGTTCATTATAAAACCTTGGTAAGCTTTAGAAAACAGACTAAAGTAAAATACCATGGGCACCTTCAGCTGAACTATGAAACACGTTCCTTTTAATGCTTAACACAGTTAAATAGGACTATAAAAAGAGGAGAGATGGAAGAAAATGAAAATAAACTTCAAGGGCAGATCAAAATTAAATATAAAAATTACAACAACCCAATCAAGAACCAAACGTATGCACACCTCAATCAATTTTAAAAGTATACCAAGCCCGTAAAGTTTATTTTTGTTTTCTTGGTATGCGGCCGCCCTCTTCGTGTCCGGATGCGGTAATTCTGAACTCACGCGCAGCAAACTCCTGGTTTCCTGCAGTCGTCTCGATTCGATTCGATTGGGTAGCTACTCACGTACAATGTTTCGTTCCAATCCTTGTGACCTCAACTCTCAAGCGGGTTTGGTTCAAATTGGTTGATTATGAAATCTGAATTTCAGATTTACCCCACTTTAGGGCTTTGGACCGGAGCGGGTGACTGGGTTGTAGGGGCAGCCATTATTTTATTGAGGCAATACTTTGACTTCTAATATTTTGTACTAGACGTGCTTATTAAAATTCCGTGTTGATAAAAGGCTTTCAATTTCGTGAATGAGCAAACAATAGTTCCTCTCTCTAGGGTTGCCTCACGGGCTTTTGTTCTTTTCCAACGCTCGAAATAGAGCGTTTTCGACGGAGGGCGTGATGGACGGCAAAACAATGAAGGAGAGTGGTTCAACGAAGGACGTGCTCAACGGTAAGGTGGGACATATGAAGGTTGCTCGGCAGGAGATCAACCGGGCGGCAGATGGGAGCATAGCCTTTTGGGCTAGGTTTTGGAGTCGTGTCTTATTTAGGGATGGCAATGAGGTGAGGTTGGGGCGGGGGTTCACACCCTCATCCCCGCCCCGTGTCTAAAAAATCGCCCCCATCCCCGCCCCATTCCCCACCACTATTTGACTTGCCCCATCCCCGCCCCAACCCGCTAGACCCACGGGTACCCAACGGGGGAAATATTCGTCAAAAAATAACACCGTTTTAGACCCTGACAGTTTTTCAAAAATTAAATAACAGTCTTGGTAGCCAAAAAATCTTTTAGGTTTTAAGTGTCAATGTAATCTTATATCTCATTTCAAATCTAGAACACATTATACGCGTTTTGATTTAGTCATTTTATCAAACACTTTATTAGCATTGATTAGCTCTATAATATTTTCTTAAACCTTACGTTCAATCAACCACGATCATTTGACAGCATCTAGGACGACCTATGGTCCCCATATTTTTAAGAGCCCTAACTAAAATCATAAAGATGGAATTCATAAGAAAAGAATCAATGCATAGTAATAGTAAAAGAAGAAAACATTCACAATGTGTCTCAGGCGTTAAAGCTAATATCACTTTAAAACCGTCCCAAATTCATTTTACTTTATGATTTTGATAACCAATTTTACAAGATAGCTGAGTTATTAAACAAGAATTAGAAAGATCCATTAGGCACAACCCATTAGATAGGAAACCACTAAACCCACCGGGCCACCATGTTTTTTAATTACCTCGTATTAGTATTATTATTGTGATTATTATTATTATTAATTATTAATATGTGTGTGTGTGTGTATCCGGGGGACGGGGCGGGGGCGGTGCGGGGGGTGCGTAACCCATCACCCGCCCCATATTTAAGCGGGGAGAAAATAATTCCCCCATCCCCATACCCGCCCCACCCCACCGCCCGCCCCCAATTCCCCCCCACGGGGCGGTTCCCCACGGGTCCCCACCCCCATTGCCATCCTTAGTCTTGTTCGTGTTAAAAATCGTAGCAATGGTTCGTCCGTCTCTTGAACCACCGCCAGCCAGAGTGGACACGGTGGAGGTGCTTAGGGCGTTGAAGAAGAATTCTTAATTTACTGTTTTTTATTATTATTGTTGTTGTTGATCAGTCTTCGTTTTATTTTGTCGTTATTTCTTTCAATTGTAAGACTCTTGCACTAGGATTGAGTGAGGTTTGGTCTGCTTCAATCGTCTGTGGCACAGGTTTGCCCATTAATGGATCAACGAGTTATATTGCTTGTTTGAAGGTGATTAACTCTGAGTCTGGTTCGCGGGCTGATGGTTGTTGGTGGTTCCTTACTTGTTTTTACTCCCTTTCTGAATGCTAATGCTTTGATATCAATTTAAGCCCCCTTCTTCCAAAAAAAAGATTCGTTAATAAGTGACACATAAAACAAGTAGTGTTGTAAGCTTATTTTTACTTCAAAAGATTTAAAACATCGTTTAACATTAAAATGTCCAAAATAACCTTATACATATAGTCATATATAGACACACAAAGTATATAATTTAATATGTGGGGTATCCGTACCCCCTAACCCCTAACCTCGCCTTACACCCATACCCTCTTCCCCTACCTCCTACCCCTACCCTACACCCTACACTGCAATTGCACACCCTTGACTCCCCAATTCGAGGTAGGGGCATGTGGTAAATGGGCAGGGTCAGGGTAGGGTCGGAGTAGGGGTGGTGGTGGGGTAAGGAGGGGGTATGAGTCGAGGTAGGGGGTAAAGGTAGGGTAAGGGGGTACCAGTGGGGGTGGGGTAAGGGGTATGGTCAGGGGTCGGGGTGGGGTAGGATGGGGTACGGGTGGGGTCAAGGTAGAGGTAAGGTCGGAGTCAGGGGTAAGGGGTTATGGTCGGGGGTAGGGTTAAGGGGTAAGGTAAAAGGGTCGAGTGGGGTCAAGGTAGGGATTGGTGGTTGGGGGTAAATGGTTGGGGTAGGGTAAAGGGGGTATGCGTGCGGTGGGGTGGGGCTGTGATTGGGGGTAGGGTAAGGTAGGATGTGTAAGGGTGGGGTTAGGGTAAGGTAGGAGCGGTAGCGGGTAGAGGGGTAACAATATGGTAAGGGCAAGGGTAAGGGTAAATTCGCAAACTAAGAAAGCTTAAAGTGCCGCTGAATTAATACATGAGGGTGATATGCTTAGTAAGCGGTACTTTAAGCACCTCTTTTGGTTAGTAAGCAACTTTTTTAGCAGCTTGCGTGTTTACTTCATCTGTCTTACTAACATAACTGTGACTTTAGCGGCGAAGTAAACACCTCTTAGAAGTATTTATTAATGAAAAAATTCAATTTGAACACAAAAATTGTATATACATTTGACACATATTTTTACGTAATTATCTATACACACAGATAATGTGTACAACCCATGTTTGCCTCTGTACATAAACAACTAATGCAACAATTGTTTGTGTGCACAAACAATTACGTTCAAATGTGTGTCAAGAGTGTACAAATTTTGTACACATCAAGAATTGTGATATGAGGACCTACGACAGTCATGTAGCATATGTGGCTTCATCACATCCATTTATTTTTAAAACGAATCTCCTCCTATAAAAATGAGTGATCCTAGAGAAACCACACAAGCACACAATAATTTATTATCACCTTTGATTTATACAAAGCGTTTTATGGCATCCTTTGATGAAAGTGTTTTAGTATTGATTTGCACTTCGTGTTAATGTTGTCAAGAAATCTCCACCTTCACAATTCATTGTCCATAGTATATATCTGAGTTATATTCTAGTTAGATTATACTTGGACCTTTGAGAGGCAGCTAACGAACTATTAATGAATAATCAGTGAATCATGTGAAATCTAATAGGAATACGACCTTAGACTTCACGTTGGACATCATTCTTGATAAAAATAAAAGAAATTATTCTAAATGAGACTAAAACATGGTTAAAACTCCAGAATAAGACTTGAAGTTTTAAATTGTCTAAATGGGACTCCAGATTACATTTTTATCCTTAATCCCTATATACCCTTTTCCCCCAATCCTCTGCATCGATCGTGAGATCTGCGATTGCAATGGAAGCGGGGTGATTACATCGATTGCGACTCAGCTGCCTTGGATGCAGCTCAACCGCCATCATTGCAGCTGTAATTTCTTCCCCAACTGCCATGGACGCAACTCAACCTCCATCATCGCAGCTGCAATTTCTTCCCCACCTGCAATTTCTTCCCTAGGTATTCTCCTCCTCCTCCTCCTCCCTCTTCTTCTTCCCCTCTATTTTATTCTTCTTTTAAATTTCAGATTATTTTAGACATTTTAATTCAAAAATGTCGTCTTTACTCGAAAATGACATGTTTTATTAACTGTAAATGTCATCTTTCTATTCCAAAATGTCAACATTACTTTAACATCATAGTACACAAGATTTCATTTTTCAAAAATTGACATATTTATTTTTTATATGACATTTAAGGATAGCTTGAAAATGACATGTTTTTCATATGCAAATGACATGTTTTAAGAATGCCACTTAACATATGCATAATGACACAATAATGACAATTTTGTATATAAACATGGCATTCTCAATATGGCATTTCCTAATATTGTAATGACATAAAAGTGACATTTTGTAAAAATACCCAATAATTATGACATTCTCTTATTCAAAAAGTGACATTTTCTGTAATCATTAGTCATGACATTTTGAGATTCAAAGTAATGAAAATTGATAACAAGAAATTCAAGTTGAGATATATCTTCAATTGAAACTTTCAAAAATCAAAATTTTATTTAAAATCTGATTGATAAAAAATTAAAAAAAAAAGCAGTTTTACAGCACCCAACACTTTGCATGGCGACAAAATAATGGAAGGCTGCCGACGGGGGACGGAGGGCGGCCGCCCTCTGTGGCCACCTGCGGCGGGATGTGATTTGTGAGCTGCCGGTAGCTGAGATAAGACGGGAGGCGGCCAAAAAGGGCGGCCGCCTACCGTTGACGCCTGCGGCAAATTCAACCCGTGCACGAAGCTTTGTCGGAGAAGTGACCGAAGGCTGCCGGCCATGGCCGGAGGGCGGCCGCCCTTCTGGCCGCCTTCCACAAAACTCCGGCTATAAAATCCCTCTTCCATCCCCAACTCAAAACACACCATCTCAAGCCCAACTCAGATAAAAAGGGCGTCTTCTTCCTCCTCAAAGCTCGGATTTCCACCATTGTTGCACCTTCATCTTCAATATTTCATATCTTTCTCATTTTAGCTCCAATTTGTAAGTTCTACATATGCATTTTCATCCTCTCAACGTGTAGAATCTGAATATGTGCTTTGTTTGTTCTATTTGTTCTTCGAAAATTTCCAGAATATTTATCAAGTAATTTGCATTTTCTTCCAAAAATTGAATAAAGTAATTGTCGATGTTGAATCCATTCCAATTAATTATATAGTTTTTTACTAGTCTCAAGGTAATATTTTATCAAAACAAAGTTAATTTTTACGAAGTAGAAGTAAATTTTAATTAATTCCGGCATTTAGTTGTTATTATTGCATAAATTAAATTAAATACTCAAAAAAGGCAAAAAATTAGTTTCCGTCCTAATTCCAGTTTAATTCACAGTAATATCACTCCTAGTAGTCAATATAAAATATATAACGAATTTAGAATATTTTTAGTTTCTTTTTTTGTATTTTCTAGTTAATATTGGGAAAATTATCAATTAGTTGTTAAAATTGGATTTTAGGTTATAAAATTCGGGAAAAATTCCAGAAAGTGATATTTTATTTCTACAAGTTTATCTTGGCAGAATATTATTTTTGTTTAATTTTCGCTATTATACATGCTTAATTCCTTGTTAATGTTGAATTTATTCATTGTATTGTTAAATGAAAAAATAATTTTTATTAGTTAAATTTATTTTGGGCATGAATTGACTAAAGGAATATGGATTGACTTGTTGACCGAAAATTAGGGATTAAAATTAATAATTTGGACTAGTTGTTTGAAATGATGAAATAGTAATTAATA